GGCGGTGGCGGCGGCTGTGCGGCCCCCCCCTCAGCGCGGCATCTAGGCAGCATCTTTAATGAAGGTCTTTTGTGTTAACACTTTTCCCTTTCCACACTGTATGAGTAAGAAAATCTCATCTTTGGGACAATTTTGTCAAAAGTACTGTGTTCTAACTAGAATGAGCAAATCTTTATTTTGTCAGTATCTACTTAAAATAGTGGTATATAAATATGTTGTTTTTCCATAAGACAAACAAGTCATTTTAAGTTGTAAGTTACACCAAAAAGCTCTAAGGAGCTCTATTTTGTAAATTAACCATTAGAAGGACTATGTTAATTATTTTTAATGTAAGAAGAATGCTTACTGTTGCATTTTTGTTCAGGTTAAGGGTTTTGGTCATAACTATAATTTCCTCCACTTTTTTCAGCAAAAAATAAACTATTATCTGATTTATCTTCTAATAACTAATTTTAAACTATCTTTTTTTCATTTACCTTTTTAATCAACTGATAAAATGCATTCCAATAAATAAGAATTATTTTTACCTGTTTAATAAATTTATATCAAGAAGGGAACTTGATGGGGGGGAGGGATAGATTGGGAGTTTGGGTTTGACATGTACACAGGACTAAATTTAAAATACATAGCCAACAAGGACCTGCTGTATAGCACAGGGAACTCTGCTCAATACTCTAATAACCTTAATGGGAAAAGAATTTGAAAAAGAATAGATACATATATATGTATGGCTGAGTTGCTTTGCTGTGCATGTGAAGCTAACAGGGCATTGTTGATCAACTATATTCCAATATAAAATAAAAATTTAAAAAAAGAGAAAGGAACTTGATTCTCACCTTTTACTCTTAATAAAAGAAGAAAAGCATTCAGTTTTGCTAAGGAATGTACCCTTTTATTTGTTTTACTTGATTTATTTAAATCTAAAATGATTTGATATGTTTATCTTTTACATGTCTTAGAATTTAACTTGGGTCGTCTACAAGTTTCCAGAGAACTAGTAAGTGATGTCATTCTCCCCAGATGGGCTAAGTCAGCTGAAGATTTCATCTATAAACATAGGAAAGCTCTGGTAAGATTTTTGTGTTTAGTTATTAGACAATCAATAAGATAAAGATCTATGTGTTTTCCAGAGGATGATGGAATAAAGTATATCTATTATTTTCCTGGATTAATTTGTAATCTATTAAGTGTGCTGTTTTAGAAAGTATAATATAGTCATTTATTTTGAGGTTATGGATCTTCTGATATAGTGAGACTATAGTAGTACAGTCCCATGGATGTATGCAAAAAAATTTTTTTTCACTTCTGTGAGATATCTGCCTATTGTATGTGAAACTATTTTGGTCACCAAGCTGGTATAGTTTGATTTTCACAGTTCCCACATTTGTTTCAAATCTAAGAAGAATAAGTACATTTTTTTTTCCTCTGAAGGATTCCAGTATGTTTTTTTTTTTTTTTTTTTTGCGGTACCGCTGTGGCCTCTCCCGTTGCGGAGCACAGGCTCCGGACGCGCAGGCTCAGCGGCCACGGCTCACAGGCCCAGCCGCCCCGCGGCACGTGGGATCCTCCCAGACCGGGGCACGAACCCGCGCCCCCGGCATCGGCAGGCAGACTCTCAACCACTGCGCCACCAGGGAAGCCCTCCAGTATGTTTTTAATAAGACAGCTAAATAAATCCTAAATGCCATTTCAAAATTTTACTTGTATTTTAGCTAAATTTCCATTTTGGAATTGAAGGACTAGTGAGAGTTAGTTTAATGTTGCTATTGTGTTATTATCTTGCAGATAATGCTTTTTTCCCCCCATAAGAGCCCACTTAGCTTTCTATCTAAACTGAAATGTTACAGATTCTGAAACTAAATAGGCCAGTACTTGGAAACATTCCTTGTCATTAGTACATAGTCAATTTTTAAAAATTCAGGATGACATTTTAACATTTGTAAGCAATAACCCCATGCATGAATAAGGAATTGGGAAAAAATAAAACACGTCTGAAAAATAATCTGTTACTTTTTTTTTTTTTGCTGTACGCGGGCCTTTCACTGCTGTGGCCTCTCCCGTTGCGGAGCACAGGCTCCGGATGTGCAGTCTCAGCGGCCACGGCTCATGGGCCCAGCCGCTCTGCGGCATGTGGGATCTTCCCAGACCGGGGCACGAACCCGTGGTCCCCTGCATCGGCAGGCGGACTCTCAACCACTGCGCCACCAGGGAAGCCCTAATCTGTTACTTTTTAACTAGGCAGGAACTTCTCAGATGCTTCCTTCTGTGTTATCTATGACAGTAAGTAGGGGTCCAGGATTTTAGGAAGACATACTCCTCATTAATAAGAGGTTAGAGGTTTGTGTTTCAGTTACGTATTGCCGTGTAACAAATGATCCCAAAATTCAGTGGCTTAAAACTATAGCCATTTTATTGTTTCTCACGCTTATGTGAGTTGACTTGCCTTAACTGGGCAGTTCTTCTGGTCTTGCTTAAGGTTCTCATCCCCTTGCAGTCATATGGCAGCTGAGGTTGGAGTCATCTGGAGGCTGCCTTGAGACACTGGGATGCTGACTTTTCTCCCTCTCCCTGTAGTCTCAGGATATCTCCTCTTCATGTGGTCTCTCTAACTGATTAGCCAGACTTCTTACCTGGCAGCTCAAGGCCCCCCAAGAATGCAAAAGTGGAAGCTTCTAGACTTTCTTGAGGCCTAAGGCTGTGAGCTGTCACAGTATCACTTCTGCCTTCTTGTCATGGTTAAATAGTAACAGGATGAGTGCAGATTCCAGAGGAAAGAAAGTAAACATCTCTTAATGGTTGGAGTGAGAAAGAATTTGCAGCTATCTTTAATCCACCATTCACAGGCTGCCCTCTGGCCACAAAGTATTTACTTTCCTTCTACATGCAAAATGTACATACTTCCTCTCAAGACCTTCCCAAAGTCTCAGCTCATTAAGGCAGGGTTCTGCAGACTTTTTCCATAAAGGATCAGCTAGTAAGTATTTTCATTGGCTGTAAACTTAGTCTGTGTTGAAAGTCTGCCATTGTAGTGCAAAAGAAAATGGGGGTATGGCTGTGTTCTGCTCATCTACAAATCTGGTTGCTAGTAAGGTTTGGCCCACAAACACTAGTTTGCTGATCCTTGCATAAAGGCATGAGGCCTGAAGTCCAGAATCTTACTAGTCATCTAAATCAAATCCATGTGTGGATGAAACTACTCCAGTGCTCCTCTTGTATCTGAAGACTGAAGTAAGGAGACAGGTTATCTGCCCCCCATGTAACAGTGGTGTAACAAGGACAGGAAAACTATAATAGACACTAACATTCAAAAGGAAGCGAGAAAACAGAGGCACCTAGCCTCTTGTTTATAACAATTCAGAATTCCAGCAGGGACATGCTCTCAGTTACTTTACTAGGGCCCAGTGCTATTCCCTGCATATTGGTTCTCCATAGATCTTTTTGTTCTACCCTTAGGCTCTTGGCTTTTCACTCTGAGTCATTCTTTTCCATAAAAACTAAAACAAAAAAACATTGTTACAAGAGTATCTTTGCAAGCCTCTTTCCTAACCATGATAAGCTGGAAGCCAAAGTCTCTTTTATTTTTTGAACAGTTTTTAACTTTTTCAGCTTGAATTAATGCAGTTTCTTTTAAAATGTTATGGGTTTCTTATGCATCAACTCTGTTGGGCAAAAACCATTCCACATTACTTTACGACATAGTTCATTATCTCCTTTGGGCTGAGTGGGAGGCTACAATGGGAAAATGTTCTTCAGGTTAAGATGCTCTATTGTCTAGTTAGGTGGGTCTGTGACACACAACCTAAAATCTTTGAGATCTCAGCAGATTGTTTTTTAGCCACACTGCTGATCTAAACTTTTGCCCAAGGCCATATTTTACTGGAAACATTCTGATTTAAGCATTAACTTAGGCCATTTCTCACTTTGAGAGTCTTTGCTTTCTAGTGATCCTGGAAATGAGAAATAATTTTCGTGCCCAGCAAGACCCAGCTCCTTTATATACTTTTAAAATTATGCTTAAAACCCAAACAGTTCATTTTTAAAACTCATCCTTGTTCCTCCCACACATAATCACAGGCAGCTAAAAGAAGCCAATTAGCATTTAAAAACATTCTGCCTGGAAATCTCTGTCCCCAGATCCAAGAGTTCATTAGGTACCCTTTCTATCTTTCATGTAACGAAAACATGAGTTCCCTTTTCTCCTGTCTCCAATAACAGTTTTCTTACGGTCTCTCAACTCCTCACTAACAGGCTCCGGGTTCTTTAAGCCTCTGCCTGCCACCAAGTTCACCTCTTAGTTGGCGGTGTGGGGGTGTGTGGAGGGAGTGATTTTTCAGCTATCTTCAATCCACTCCAGTGCGGTTCCCTTGTTTCCTTGAATTGAATTTCTGGACTATTTCAGTGGAATTTTCACAACAAAGATGTATTCTACAGCTATCATTAATTTTTTTGTTGTTCTTATTTGGGCTATAAGAATATTTGTTATTTTCTTCACCCATTAGTTAGGAGATGTATATGTAGTAAATATTAATAAATATGTCTACATTTTACTAGATAGAATATAGTCAAATTGGATCAATGTTTAACATGATTTTGAGATAATTTTATTTACAGTGATAAGATTTGTGTGTGGAAATGCTTAAAATGCTCTTATTTTTTTAAAGGACCTATCATTATGTTGTAGTTGGAAGGTATCTTTATATTAATTGCTAAATTTGTTTTTTTTTTCTAGGAGTCTGAATATGTTTCTGCTCATCTTCATGAATGGATAGATCTGATTTTTGGCTATAAACAGAGGGGGCCAGCTGCAGTGGAGGCACTCAATGTTTTCTATTACTGTAGTTATGAAGGTATAAGCTTATACTTTTTCTCTTATGTTAATAAAAATATTATTTAATATGTGTTTATACATGGTATTTTTGGCATAACTATTTAACACAAGAAAGACTACATTTAAAAATAATTTTAGTTATCTTTTCTATTTGAAAGGCTGCTGCTTTTTAAAAAAATAGTAGTTAAAATGTCAATTATTGGTGGCATAAAAGATTTTGATCTCTGGCCATATGTATCCTATTCAGTTGGGTCTGAGTATTCTGTATTAAATTGTTAGCAGACATTAAATAAGAGTTTTAAAAATTAAAATAACAAATTCTTCCAATAGTAATAAGATGACAGTATTCTAATGTTTAGCTCTGGATCAAGAACATTTTCTGAAGGCTTTGAAAGGCTTAAGAAGGAGTTCTTTCCTAATCCTTCCATAGAGCTAATAGTTCTAAAGATTATAAATAGTGTGAAGTTTTATGAATTTGAGCAGAACCCACATGACTTTTGGTAAATAGACAAGCATGTTTTTACCTTGCTGTATTCATTTGATAACAGTTTTGTAGGAAGGTAGTATAGCATGGTGGTTAGGAGCATAGTCTTTGAAATCAGACTTTACCTAGTTTGGTCAATTACTAGCTATGTAGCAATAGGAATTAAGTATGGCTGGTATAATCAGTTAGCCAGAATATCACCTTGCCCAACTTTTGTTAGATAAACTAATTTATAGCAGTATTTTTGTGTGGTTATTACACTTGTTTCAGCTTAACTATCGTGAAGAAAGCAATCAGGTGTACAATGAGTATAGTGTGCATTTTTATAAGAGAAACTTTTATAGACTACCAGTTAACTTTTGTTTAAAATATTTTAGTTCTAAACAGTGGGTGGAATTTATTTTTGTACATATTTAATATCTGAAGCTTTACTGATTTTTTAAAAGTTATCTCTTTACAGTAGTTTTATAAATTGATGAATGGAATAATATTTTGTTGAAAATATACTAATCATTCTCTGATATGTTAAACAGTTGTGTGGCTTGCTGATTCGTTTTTGCTCTGTAGTGAATTGACTACTTCTCTTGGTTTTAGGAGCTGTGGATCTGGATGCCTTAACAGATGAGAAGGAAAGAAAAGCCTTAGAAGGGATGATTAACAATTTTGGGCAAACACCTTGTCAACTGTTAAAGGTAAAGCATAAAAGTTATTGATTACCGAAGTCCAGAATTTAATTGCTAAGGAATAGTACTACCAGTAATTTTCAAGGTTTTTAATGATTTAAAACCTTATTTCAGAATTATCTAGAATTTGGAAAAACTTATACTGTCACTTAAAAAATAAATAGATTTAAATGATTGTTCCTATTTTTTTTTAATTAATTAATTAATTTATTTATTTTTGGCTGTGTTGGGTCTTCCATTTCTGTGCGAGGGCTTTCTCTAGTTGGCGGCAAGCGGGGGCCACTCTTCATCGCGGTGCGTGAGCCTTTCACTGTCGCGGCCTCTTGTTGCGGAGCACAGGCTCCAGACGTGCAGGCTCAGTAGTTGTGGCTCACGGGCCTAGTTGCTCCGCGGCATGTGGGAATCCTCCCAGACCGGGGCTCGAACCCGTGTCCCCTGCATTGGCAGGCAGATTCTCAACCACTGCGCCACCAGGGAAGCCCATGATTGTTCCTATTTTGAATGTCAAAATACTGCAGTCAAAATCCACATATTCAGTCAATTTGTCTTAAGTCACAAAGGATTTATATTTACTCAGAAAGCCAATCACATTTATTTTGTTGTTTCTGGGAAAGGGAAAGGTGAGGTTGAAGGCCCCTGTCAGGTGAGCTATTACTCCCTCCTTTATTAAATGGAGAAGTAGCTCTAACTGAATACCAGTTAGGGTATACCATTAAAGCTGTTCTAATACTGGGACTCATTGCATGTATAAGGCTTTTAGTAGCTGACATCTGCCCCCAAAGGGTTCTTATCATCCAGAGCCCAAACCCAGTCCTAAAAATCAAATTGCAGAATATATAAAATCGAAGTATAAATATTACTGTATTTCTTTTCCCATCCTAGTATCTGAAGTTAAATTATTGTCTTCCTGATTGCATACAGCTTTGGATTCATAGAAGTTAATCCAATATTAGCTTGCAAAGATGTCTTGATCTTTGTTAGTATGTGAATTTGGAAATGAGGAATACATAATAATATACCATTTATTAAGTTGATACTTTCCTATGCAAGCACTGTGCTAAGTGATTTACCTAACTTCACAGTAAATATTCAATTATCCTTACTTTTTACATGATGAAGCCATATTTCATAGAAATTAATACCTAGCCTACAACACCTTAGAAAAATCAAATACTTTTTTCCAACTTTATACAACTAGAATGTGACTGGGACAGAATTTGTATGCATGATCATCTAACTCCAAATCCTTTCTTCAGTGCCATGTTTCCTCTGAATTAATAGCTGTAAGCCCCCTTGTTGAACTTGTATATCATTTTTCCATTCTTAAGGACTGTTATTTGTATCCTAATTATGACACTTCCACCTTAGTTAGTTGTATATTAATCCATTTGCCTCACTATATTATATTATGTTAAAGGCGGCAACTTTTTTTAAATCATTTTTGTATCTTTCTTGCATATAGTTTGTGGGCAGTAAGTATTTGTTGAACTGAAATCTCCACAGCTATAACAGCAACAGTATATCTAAACTCTGGCTTATAGATGAACTTCTGTTAATTCAGTTATCAGACCAAGATTTATAATTGTTACTATTCCTTAGCAACAGTTTGAATCCTCCAACATTGATTTTTGCAGAATACTCATATTTGAAATCAATCTTTATTCCTTACCTGCTGATAGTCAGAAGGCAAAAGTAACAGAATAAAACACAACACTTCATTGGACTTTGAAATAGATTCTATAATATTTTTGCAGCAGCTTTATTTTTTTTACAAGGGCAGTGCTAATTTGTTTTTAAGATTAAAAAAATGACATAAAAATCAGCTTTTGATTTCAAATAAAGTGAATAATACTCACATGGATAATTCAGAGATAAATATTCAATTAGAGCTGTCAAATCTGTTTCCCATAATCTAATATTTTGCATTGGAGATAGAATCCTCTTTAGCTAGATTTCTATTCTACATTTTAACTGTGGCATTGGAATATTAATTTGACTTGTAATTTTCTTCTCATTTAAAAAGGTGATAATATCTTTTGTTTCTGACATTAAAGGTAAGGAATAATAATAACTTATTTGAAAAGCAATGCAGTAATATCTATAATTTGATTCTGAGAATATTGACATTCAAATCTTATTTCAGGAATTAAAGATTCACCTGTATTATAAATTTTGACTTTTGAATAATGTATTTAATTTTACCAAACATATACATAAGCATGTACCTACCATATTTATGATACTTTTCTATGTGTTGAAAATCCAAAAATGAATATGACTTATTTTCTGACTTTAAGGTACCTATCGTCTAGTTGGGAAAGACCATAACCAACTATATGTAATCCAACATAGAAAGAAATAAGTACTAAATAAAATACTAAATAATGTAGCGTGCTGAGAAAAATAATAGAATAGTTAATTCTGACTTAGAGATTCAAGAGAGAGATCAGTACGAAAAACTTTAAAGTAGAAGTAGGGTTTCTCTAGGAATGAAGAGGGCCCGAACTCTGCCAAGGAAATTGAGCAAAAGCCAGGAGTTGTCAATAGTGCCTGGTATGTAATCCATCATAGCTAGAGTCTGGTATGTATGAAGGAATATAGTGAGAGATGTTTTAATGTAATTATGGAATTATTTTTTTCTTAATTTTTTTTTGAAGGAACCACACCCTTCTAGATTGTCAGCAGAGGAGGCAGTGCAGAAGCAAACCAAAACAGACACTTCACCCTTTAACTTATTTCAACACCTCCCTGAACTCAAGTCATTTTTTATAGAGGTAATATCCAACTTGATAATATCAAAGGATTTTCTCTGTGATTTCTGTACACTTCATTGTCCCTTTTGTTCTTTAATGGAGAGGGTGGATTTTAATACTTAATCCAAGATAGTAAATAATACTTCAGTAATATATTCTTAGATTTTTTAAAACAACCTTGTTGAAAGCTTTTGTTTGCTGCTATAACATTTGTTTTGGCTTTCTTTCTTCCAGCCTCGCGTTCTCCCGAAGGAAACATAAAGAGGGAGAATAATTTGATTTAAATTTGCTTTTTGTGTCAGTTGAGATGATATGTAGAGGAAGTCTAAAATAACTTTTAATTACAGTGTCTATTCACATATAAAATATGGCCCATGAGTCAGATTGTTAATTGATGATGTCAGAAGGCATAGTCAAGTGGAGCAAGATAGATAGTTAATGCTGTTCTTGAAAGAGTACCTTCAAATTCACGTTTAAATATACATATTGAATTACAGTTGATTCTTGAACATCACAGGTTTGAACAGTGTGGGTCCACTTATACATGGATATTTTTTCAATAGTAAATACTAGAGTACTACATAATCTGGGATTGGTTGAATTTGTGGGTGCAGAACTGCAGATAAGGAAGAAGCGCAGATACAGAGGGCTGACTATAAACTATATAATAATGCATGGAGGGTTGTTGTCCCAAACCCCTGAGTTGTTCAAGGGTCAGCTGTTCTTTGAATAGTTCAGAATGTGAATATGAAATGCATTAATACCTATAAATTTGGTTAGGACAGATAATATTAACTCTTTTGGAAGAATACAAAATGATAAAAAGTTACTAAGAATAGATTGGAGATGTGCATAGAACAAGGAATAACTCTCATGCCATACAGCAAAGGGTGGTAAATGTTTTCTTAAAGGGCCAGATCGTAAATATTTTGGACTTTGTACCTACATATCATTTGAAGGTGCTTACTTCTTCCAATAATGAAATGTGACAACATGATTTTGTCTCCCAGGGAAGCTCATTAGAGACTCAGCTCTGCCTAGCACATTCCAAAATTCTAGACTCCCAAAAGAAAAGCCTGTATTCAGACGATTGTTTACACAAATAGTCTAGGCATAGTGAGCCACGTGTATAATTGAAGACAAGTTTTATATCAGTCAAGTTCCCTGATGCCAGGCAATGGCCAGCCTTGCAAGCAGCCTTTCTAAGGAGAGCAGTCTCAGTCCTGCTATGTTAACTTTTGGCTACACATAGGGCAACCCACAAAACCCTATTTGACCCCTAAACTGATGGACATGTAATAAAATATTATGTAATGCTGATAAAAGTATTTTCATCATATCTAATCATTTGTGGCATTGTTTTTTATAGTACAATACATTCTGAGTTCTGTCTGCAGATGCAATGGCATTTGCCCCTCTCTGCACCCACCCCAAGTCACAGGGTAGCTTTCCTCAGGGCCAATGTCTGGAGCAGGATAAAGAACACAATAGATATCCTTGGGTACCAATAATTGTTAATCCCTTTTCATCATACAAGAAGGTGTTTCCCACTCATTCATATGAAAAGAGAAGGCCTCTTTTAGTTCTCTTCCTAGGTATTAAAATGGTGAAGAAAATTGACGTAGCAGTGAAAGCAAGGGGCTTATTAAATGGATTTCTTCAGATACCATTTCCATTTATGCTTGTTAAATGTCAGTTGTCTTCTCTTGATTAATTCACAGTATGAAGAGAAAAGATATACATTAACTTCATGTGGTTATACATCATTATTTAGTTCATATAAAGCTCTTAGAAAAGCACCTGGCACATCGTATGTACCCACTAATGTTAGGTTATAATTTATCTAATAAATGTTAGGTGCAATTTATGAACTATTGTCACATCAAAAAACTTATTTCAAATCGTTTTTCTCTTTCACACTGTAATAAGATAATGGTGGATGTTTTCTGAGGACTGTCTTTATTTCCTGGTCCTTTGTTGTAGCTTTCAGGAAGGGCCTCAGGTAATGGAATAGATCTATTTTTTGAAAGTTAAACCCAGAAGGAAAATTCCATAAAATATAACTAGTTTTCCCATTTCACTTATTTGAGAAATGTTTTCTTATATGGTCTGTATTTTCTACTTTATATTCATGTCAGTACGGCATGGGAAAAGGAAAGGTTTTAAATCACTGGCTGTTTTAAATGGTTGACACTCCTTGAAATCTACATCCTTGTTTAACAGCAGCATAGTGGAATACAAGAGGTGATGGGTTTCAGAACTTTCAAGTCTGCCATTCAAACATGGTCTATAATTCCTTTCCTATATTTAAAATTAAGTGATGATATGTTTTGATAGAGTACAAGGCTGTATCTCAGGGTTTATCTTTAAAGAAATAGAAGTTTTCAATAATTTTTACCTAATAAGGATAGTAGAACCAGCCACTAAACCTCTGTCCTTTATTTTATAGGGAATTAGTGATGGTATTCCACTATTAAAGGCCATTGTCCCCAAAAATCAGTCTCGTTCTTTTATTTCACAAGGCAGTCCTGAGTTACTGGTAAGTTGATTTATACCTTTTCCCACTGCCATATCTATATCCATTACAACTTATGAAAAAATTGAGAAAATAAAAAAAATGTTTAAGTCTTTTTTAAAAGCATAGATAAGGGAATTCCCTGGAGGTCCAGTGGTTAGGGCTCCACACTTCCACTGCAGGGGGCCTGAGTTCGATCCCTGGTAGCCTGGTGGGGGAACGAAGATCCCACATGCTGCACAGCACGGCCAAAAAAAAAAAAAGAGAGAAAATTTTTAAATAGAATTAATTTGACCAAGTATAAAAATGTATCTTTTAGGGGCTTCCCTGGTGGCCCTGGTCCGGGAGGATCCCACATGCCGCGGAGCGGCTGAGCCCGTGGGCCATGGCCGCTGAGCCTGCGCGTCCCAAGCCTGTGCTCCGCAACGGGAGAGGCCGCAACAGTTAGAGGCCCGCGTACCACCAAAAAAAAAAAAAAAAAAAAAAAAAAAA